TTAATAGAAGCTAGTCAACACAATGCTAGTTGATGTATGTCAAATGTTAATCAATTCAAGTTAATTAATGTTCCAAAATTGTCAATTGTTTTTCTATTGTAAAAAACAACAATCTACATTTTGTAACATCAAATCCATCCATCGATTCCAACATTTTTGACTGTTGATAATAAATTTTGTGAAATCGCTTTGCTATAAAACGAGGTGACAAACAAACAAACAAAAATTTGATACGTGTGCAATTGACATGTGGGCTAACCTGCTTTTTTGGGATTTTATTACGGCGTTGAAAAGTGAACCAAAACAGTTTCCCTTTTTTCGCGATCGTTCGTGTATAACCCAATAAACACAAACTCGCAGAAATGTGCGTGTGCTGATTTTGTGCACACCAAAGACACAATAGCGTGTATTTTGTGCACAGAATATGCACACATTTGCACACACACATTTTTGGGTGAAAATGCATTACACTTGGTTTATTGGGAAGTGTGCGACATTCAATTTTGAACTAAATATGAGATGACATATTTGTCACACAGAGATAGATTGAGATATTTCCAATGTACTACATGCATCAGTAATTTCAAATTCATTTGATACATTTGACGTGAAAACGACATACCGTGTCGCTTCTCAAATAGCAAGCGAGAGACAGAGCGAGATATATAGAGAAAAAAAGCAAAAAGAAACGGAAAAGACTATCCGATAAACTGCGACACAAAAAGCGTCTGCTTCGATATAATAAATAGTATAATTAACAGTTGTATATAGCACCTAGTTTTTTCCCATCGGTGCCGGTGAAATTTTTTCAAACATCAATCACTCAACGATAAACTACAGAGAAAATGGCGCAATTTAAAGACAATTCTTGGGTAAGTTCTTCAATGAAACAGTCGCTCTAAACTTTTATTTTAGAATTTTACATTTTTATTGAGCAAACGCTTTCATTTTTTATGTTTGAATATTTTAATTTGTCGGAGAAAAAAAAACAAACCGAAACTGCTCTCCGATGAGAACCGAACATCTTAAAACAAAAACACGTTTCACCAAAAACGAACGTTATTTTACTAATACGTTATCGCTTTTATACTCGATTAATATGCATATCCATTTCTAATTTTGTATTTGCTTAAGCATACATTTTGACTAAACAAATTCAATGTGTTACAGTTGAGATTGCCGAAAGATTAGGATAGAAAGAAAAAAAAAACGGTGTCAATAGATTGCATAATATGTCAAAATACGCATGACTTTCAAGTGATTTCGTCGCGGCTTTACTCATTTGTAAATGCCACCGTTCAAGATGAGAAGAGTAAACAATAAAAAAAAACTTACAATAATACAAAGTAGTATAAGTGGTATATTTGCCAGCAAAAATTCCATGACCGTCGTGCACTTGGCACGACATGACAACAAACAACAATGCAAAACCTATTTTGAATGTAATTAGTGTACAAATAAAGCCCGAAAAAATTCATTAACAGCAAAAGGGTTTGTTTTTGCAGAATTGGCAGAAAGATTTTCATTGTCATTACAACAATGCATTGTATTGTTTACGATCAAAATTGTTCAGTTGGCTCGAAGCCACGCACTGCATGTATTGTATAGCTGCCGAAAAAGTGGTTGTCAGTTGTATTTATTTAAAATGCCGTCATTAAGATTGAAAAAAGCCACAAACATATTTTAAAATTGAAGTTTCACCAACCGCATCGTCTCACCTTATATGGAGTCCATTCAGGGTTGTCAATTTGGGATTTCAAAAATGAGATTTATTGATTTGGATTTTTCATCGTATGATTTGATTTGAGTTGGTCAAAATTAATAAAATATTTTGATTTGAGACCGTTCAAACTTGACTTGAGAAATAATGATTAGGTGAAATCAAATCAAATCACTAAAAAATCAAATAAATTCATTTCAGCTGCACGGCGAAATCAAATCAAAACTTATCATTTCAAATCATGATTTATTGATTTATCAAATAATTTAATCTCAACCCTGTATTATAACTATAATAGACGCGCAAAAACATTGTCCAAGCTCGAATCTGTATGTGTGAGTGTAATTCCCCATTAGCGACCAATGAAACAGCGTTCATTGCCTTCGAATCAAATAAACAAATAAAAAAAGAAGAAAAAACACAAACAAATCAGCATACAATCAGTGTCCGCAACCGAAAGCGTATGAATGCGTTCGAAAAATGGCAACAACGAATCGGAACTTTTGTCAAACAAACGATACTCGCATGTAAGCAAATCCATTGTTGCCAACAATAGAGACGAATTTTTTCTCTCTCTTTCCATCTGTATTCATATTTATCTATTACATACGTTTGAACCCGAAAAAAAAACAACCGTTTGTCATGTCGCTGAGAGTTTGAACCATTGTTAAAACGATTTTACATATTAATTTCGTCTCTCATGGTTTGTGTATGTGTGTTATAGAGTTTCATCTCGGTGCAGATTTCATTTCAAACATCACACGCCACCATGACTCCGTCTGAGACGCTGTTACGATTCGTGCTCTGAAGGTGCATTTCTAATACCTTTCCCTTTATCTCTCTTTTTTTAATTAGTAGTGTTGTTTGTATTAACGTCATTTCATTCACATTTCGAGAAAAAAAAATGGAAATACTATCTGACAAATGTAGAAAAAAGATGGCTCACGAAAGGTTGCTTTTGAATAGAAAAAAAACATCATTTGTGGAATTAAATCATCATTGCGTGGTGCGAATAAAGAGAGCAACAAATGATAGAAAGTGTCTGATGTTGTCTTACCATTACGGATGCATGTCTTCGCGGTTTTAGTTCAAGTGTTACCAAATGTTACCGATTAAAATAGCTCATTTTTTTGGTTTTTCGCAAATTGAGTGCATTTATTCAGTTTATGAACAAAGCGTTATAAAACAGTTGAATGATTAAGGTGATATGCCTGTGCGGCATCTTGTAAAGGTGCATTTCTTACTGACGGAAATTCAGTGAAGCGTTATCTCTCTCTTTCCCTTCAAACTTTGGCTAATTATGTAAGAATAGGCGCAGCGTAGCCAAAATGGGATCTGTATTACATCATAATTACGGAATGATCTGTAGCGGGAATGAACAGAGTAGAAGAGAAAAAAACTACCGTTGTTCTGAAATTGATTACGAAGAAAGCAAATCCATCATTCGAATGTATCGAAAGCGATGGACGTGATACCGCTATTTTGCAATATCGAAACAACGCAATTACACTCGTTGAAGAATTACATGCATCTAACGGCCACTTTTGCATTGCAAACGAAATCAAATAGAAAAAAAGCAAAAAAGTAAATCGACGAATAAAACCACACTGATGGAAGTTTATCCGCAAAGTTGTCGATGCAAACAAACTTGATACGAGTCAAATTAAATCGACAAAACCTACTTCGTAAACACATGAAAAGAAGCATTGCAATGTATCGATGAAGAAACGAATGTTATGCCGTTAATTCTGCTACGTTCTGTGCGTCGACGTGCATATGTAATCGACTGCTTTTTTGTTGCATGGCATATGCCTTTTATTGAATACTTTAAATCGCCAATTGAGTGCCATTTTTTATGGACAACAAGCAATTATAATCGTTATTTTTATCAACTCATTTTCCGCTTGAATTTTATGGCGTTCAATTGTGTACAGTGGTCAAAGCACCTTTTCTCTTATTCACTTCCCGAAATGGGAGCTTGTTTTTTTTATATTCGTGAATAACAATTTGTCGCTCAGTTCAGTGATCCCGCTAATGGAATGACAGCTATCAAACGAAAACTATTGTCGGATTAGCAAAACACGTGAGAGAGATCTTTTCATTTTCATTTGATAATGTCAAACGCAATATTTGGTTGGATAATTTTTGCAATGACAAATTTGAATGGATGATTGACACGCGATGTCAAGCTAAACTTAAAAGTATGAAGACACGCGCAACATTTTTTACCCCATTCAATCTTGAGCGATTTAAAGTAGATCATTCACATTTTTTGTGTGGAATTACGTATAGCTTCTTTCACTTTTGTGACACGTCAACTAAAAACATCAAAAATAAATGTACAAAAACAAATGTAAATATTTGAAGAAAAAAATGGTCGAATATTCGGATCTAGATGGCATTTACGTCTGAATTTAGTCAAATATTTGCCAGAAATATCAAATGGATAGGCTCCTTGAAAAGAATCTCACCATCAATGAAAATGTTATGGCATAAAAATAAACAGGTGAAATCGGCCGTTCGCAACAAGAGAAATGAATAAATCGACAAAAAATCAATGTTGTAAAATGTGCGCGCGCTTCAAACCACTAACATCGTCATGGTGTTTATGGCCAATCTTTTTTTCCTTTTATTTTAATTGATGAATTGTTTGTTTGAATGCTTCTCACACTTCAATGGGTTTTTTAACTTCTCTTTTTTTAAGTGCTGCATTTCTCTTGCTCTCGTTTTTATTCAAATTTTTTTTGTTGTATTTTCGAAAAACATTTGCCGAATGAAAAGCGGCTCAAAATGGAAATGATTTGTTGTTGAAATTTAAAATGCAAATTGATTGGCGCAATCTTGCGCTATGAGCTGCTCACGTTTTAATGGTTGAATAATCTATTTTTTTTTCTTGCTGCATTAAATTGCTCATCAACAAAGGCGATCGTTAACGCTTTACTTCTTGCATAGATCGAACGATTGTTGTAAAAGATAATTTCCGATAATTTATTTTTTACGGTTTTTTTCTTCTATCATTTTCATTTCACAAATTGAATTTTAATACGAAAAATTACAATTACAAAATATCCATTTATTACTTATTAAAAACGCATACAAATCATCTTCAGTACATGAAAAAAGTATATTACTTTTGATTTTAAAAAACTTTTCAGTTTTTAAACACTAAATAGAAATCGAATCTCCACACTTCGATTCGGTTAACGAATGAAAACTTACAACTAGAACTAATAATTCTACGATAACATGTTATTTTTGCTAATTTTATAAATTCGCTACTTATTAATTAGGTTTCCATTTTTCTGATGATTTGAACAACGTCGCATGATAAATGACAGAAAATAGTCGCCGGCAATTTGTTTTGCTTTAAAACAGAAATGCAAAAAAAATGTAATTCGTCATTATATTCGCCGCAAAACTGGCTCGCTCAAGGTTATGCAATATTAATGTAAAAAATGAAAAAAATACGAGTATGTTGTAAATTGTAAGCTGTGTATGCACTGCAATGTGTAGTTGAGTGGCTGCATCGGCATATATGAAATAGTAATTTATATAATTTTGACTTCTCTATATTATATGCGAATTTATCGATTTAAAATCGACGCACTGTTTGGTATTGGTGCCGACGACGACAAGTTACATTTTTCCATTCTTATTGACATTTTGTATCCGAGCGCGAATAAAAAAAAAATTCCATCGAAATGCATCGGCTTATTTTTTATAAGAACACGTTCAGAAATTTAAAATCGTTTTATTTATCAAGGACAATTGCTAAATTCGAAATTACTTTCACATATATATAAAAAAATCACTTTTTCTGATTCAACTTTTTATCAATATCATCATTGAGCTGTGTTAATCCCGCTTGGAATCTTTCCAATAAATTACGTTGGGTCACTTCTGCACTATTCCCGGCCTGATGACATGCCCTGGCCGTTGAAAAGAGACTTTGGGAAAACTTTTCATATGCATCATTCTCGAAAAATTTACGATTGCCTCTACTTGAAGTGCCTTGTTCCATTTGCAATGTATTGTATTTGTTGGGGTTGGAACTCGATATCTCTTCTTTGGTGGAACCAATCGAAAATCGATTTTGACAATCTACATTTTTAATACATATATATTATTTAGAATTTGATTGTAAAATAGGACACAACGTAAACAAACATGAAAACAATTTCCAAACGAGAACAAAACTGAATTTTGTCCTAGATTTTGATGAACTTATTAACTGAAATGTTGATTATGACATTTTTTTTAAACAAAGCAGCAAAAAATTTAAAATTTATGTGATTTGTCAGGCAAAAAATTATGTTAAAATGGCAAAAGTTCATTCAACTCCAAAACAAAAAAAAAAACATTATTTGATGGGTGGGAGAATTTATATTTTTTTAAATCATAACCGACGTTTCAGTATGATGTTCAGTCAGATCGATAAACATTTTCAATCTCATTTGCAATAATGTTCACTTTTGTTGACTTTTTGGATAAAAATTCTTACAAGCGTAAAAAAACACTGAGAAGAAGAAAAAGGAAAAAAATATCTTACTAAAACACTGGCATGATGGACCGCATTGTCTCTTTTGATCGTAGCACTGACAATAATTTCGAACACAAGCAGACCGCTTACACTTGCAAAAAGGTAGTTTTTCCTTTGATATGCCATTCCCCATTGACGACCTACGACAATGCACAATTTTTTTATTGAGAAGTATTTAAAAGTAAAGAAAAATCGATAAATATGCCGAACTTACATTCTTCCGCGGTAAAAAACGACTCGCAGTTGTTGAATGAGAAAACTGTTGTAACCGTTGTTCCAGTCTGAAAGCATTCTATATAGCCCAATCAATCTGAAAGATGAAACCAGGAATATTCAATAAATTAATGAAGTTTAAATAAACCAAACGATATAGCGGATTCAAAGATTTATATTTCACAATAAAAGTATAAAGTTTTACAACAGAATTCCAATTTAAAGCGTTTAATAAATAAAAAAAATTGATAAAAAGCCAGCTTTTGTAGCTGTTAATGTTATGTTATGTGAAACCTGCGTTTTATGTCAGTTTGAAATTGAAATCAAAATATGATAAATGAATAAAACTGTGATTCATATATGAATTGGATTTGAACACTTCAGACCAAATGTGACTTACATTTTTGTTCCGTTTAAATATGACTGACATAACATATGGAGACCTCATTTTTATAAACTGTTCAACTGAGAAGTTGACGAAGACCTTTTAATTTCATAGATGGCGTTTTTTCCGCTTGTCACATTTAAATCAAAGCACGACGACAATGACAGCTGGGCAACGCAGCAACTTCATTATGGTTGCCACATTTTATGTTGGGTGGCACAAATTCGTACCATTTTTGATTTAGGCGATCGAAATTTGTGCTATTTTTTAGTCTCGCTGGCAACCGCACCATGGCGCTACTATCAACGTTGCTTGTCATCGTCGCGCTTTGATTTAAATTATTTTCGCGCTTCTTAATATATCCCACTTATACAATTTTATTTGAAAAAATCCATTGGGAACGGCTTATTTTCTTTAGCCTGCACGTCAAAATACGTCGTATTTTCAATAAAGAGTTTCAATGACAATTTTCTCTTGGAAACGGGTGTGACAGTTAATTTTAAACTTTAGAGAAGTTTATTACCATATCGATTGTTCATTTTACATCTTAAATACTCTTGTTAGCGTGATGGAAATGATTATCAACGATTAAAAAAAATTGTCCGCACAGCATTTTGAAGTAATAATACTCAAAACATATGTGCAAACTGCACTGCAAAGAAATAATAGTAAAACTTTCAATGTCTTTGCATAAACTTGTATGGCGAGAAACATTGGCAAAATATGGCTTGCATCTATAGCATGATAAATTTTCCGTGTAATTTATGAGTGCTCGTGATCATTTTCTGCACAGAGTGTTATTTATGTGCAGCGCATGAAATGGGTGCTTGTGTGATGTTGTATGCTTTTGAAATTGATTTCAGTGGACACAACGGTGGCTCATTGAGGGTAATTATTCATTCAATATAATCACAAAGAGACACTTGTTTGCTTTGCTTTCTGGATGCCGCAAACAGTAGCTATGCATGCACACAAATACGCTCTGTAGCCGACACATTGTGCATTTTCATTACGATGGATGAGCGATTAATTTTAATTTTAATTGAACTTCAAATGATTGAACTGGATCGATGGTTATCATTCGACAAGAGGAGTTGGCGTACATAATAATTGAATGAAATAAGCAACGCAAAATAAGTGTGTTTGCACACAACATTCCAGCATTTAAAAGAAGAAAAGAAATCTCTCGAAAATAATTTCACAATGTTTGTGTCTCAATGCATGTTGTTGTTTCTTTCATTCCATCACTCTTTTTCACTCTTGCTACTCAAAATTGGCATTCTAATTTTCTTGCGAGTATGTTGTTTCATTCCACAAAGTGCTTGCTACTTATTTGACATGCCGTACATTTCTTCTTCATCATCATCTTGGGTAAATATTTTTCACATATATGTGGAGAAATTGAAAGGCTATAAATAAGACGCGGTTTCGTTGAGCACGAACGAAGGTTGAGCGCTTTGTTTTCCAAAAGACTGAGAGAGAGACTCAATTCACGACATCGGACGTAAATTAGTTAATCGTTGCGTTGCGATTCTTCAATTATTTGAATCCCATCCTGTTTTACACGAAGAAGAAGAAGAAAAGTACCAACAAACAGTGACACCGCGTATATACTTGAAAAATGCAATATTTTACATCTAATAAACGAAAGAAACGAGCGAAAAAGAGAAATATGTTGGGATTGCTGCAATCACAGGAAATACAAAAACACACACACAAAATAATGGGCAAATAGTAAATATAAATAAATCTATCGTATTGTAACGACAAACGAGAGATATTTTCATCTTGGTACTTCCGCTATTCCGATTCGCAATATTCCACATTTTGTGCGGAACGCAATTAGTGGCTGGTGTGTGTTTTTCTGTTTTTTTTTTTTCCTTAAAAGAGAGTATGTTGATTGCATAACCATCGGCATAAAATCATTGCGATGAATGAAGTGCCTGTGGGAAATCACAAATCGACACATATCCATCATTCGATTTGCGCTTTCTTTTCACATTGTTTGGAATCACAGTCGAATCGATGTTCTCATTTCATCAAGAAATTTCATCGACATTGCTTTGTAATTGAATAACAAATTCAACAAATGCACACAGCTCGAAAGAACATCGCATTGTGTTTGTACATTTGGCTTTATGACTTATTTATTTTCTCTTATTTTCTTTTTATTCCTCTCTCTCACTCTTTAATGACAAAGAGACAGAAGAAGAAAAAAATAGGGCTCGATATTTCCGCCAATAATAAATAAGCCACTGTTGCTGATTTATTTCCATTGTAGAATAAAATATATGGACAAGAGAGTGAGGGAGAGAGAGAGAGAAAATAAAATAAAATAAGAAACCGATCCATTTTGGAATGTGAAGCAATTGAAATGTAGCACAACCAATGTGTACAATTACACTCTGTTTACCGTGGCTGAGAAATTCGAACTACAGCTCACACACAGTCAATTCTTCTTCCATACGCCATATCAAAGAGGTAAAAAATTAAATCAAAAATACGATGCGATAATGAATACTTGAACGTAAATAAGACATAGCATGATTTACGGATTATTCGCTCATCGAGATTTTGTTCATATACATTTTATGCACGTTCGTTCGTGAAGAAGAAAGAGAAAAAAAAGCCCATATATACTATTAATCTATGTGTATTTGTGCAAATTAAACGGCGAAGAAAGTCGGACGACGCGCCCGATATAAACAACAACATTTAATTTCCGAAAATAACGATCTTAGCTTAACGACAACGACACAAACGCTTGTTAAAAAAATTTTCTCCATTACAATTGAATCGTGTCTTTTAACTTGAAGAAGAAACAAATATGCTTGATACCACATCGTTTTTGCCTTTTTAATATATCTGATGTACGTGAATGTTCCAGTGTTTCATTAAAATGACCCAATTGCTTTGTTTTAAACCGTTTCTATTTTTCTGTGTGCGCACAAAATGCGCACAATGTTAGTCGTGCAACATCGTTTTGCCAAAACATATGACTAAAACAACAACATTGAAAAGCATAACATGTTCCATAAACAAAAACTGTCGTCGGGAGATACCCAGTTCACCGTTCAAATTGTGGCGCGACAAGAATTTTTTCATTATTATTTAGATCGAATTCTTGGGCACCACAAACACCGTTAGATAAGTGCTTTATGACAATTATTAACAAGTGTTTTGCTGGAAATGGCATATATTTTTTTGCCGTCCATTGCATTAGCTTACCGCCAAATAGGACATTGCATTAAACCCGAATGGGCTTCAAGTAAAACTGACTTCAGCATAGTAAAAAAAAATATTCGCTGTAAAACATCATTGACATTTATTGCTGAGAATTTCATTCCATCTTTAACTGGATATATTATTTAACTGAACTAAAAGAGAATTTTAATTATCACTTCATTCATGATGTACTCGATGCAGCTAACCAGCAATAACATTCGTCCATAAGTTGTTTTTTATTTGCAATTCGTTCATGTATCTTCGTTATTTTACTCTTTTTTTTTCTTCTCTCCTCCCGAAAAAATGCGAACAATGCAATGACATTGCATAAAAAGACTGTTCTGCCGCGATCCAGTTCGATGCTACGAAAAATGTCGTGCGCGCCAATTTACAATCCCAATGCCGACAACATGGTAAGCATTTTTTGTTTGTGTCTGCTGCTGTTATTTTAACTGGTTGGTGTTTTGCACGGTGTGTGTTTTATTTTGTTACCGAATTCGATCTGTCAAATAATTGTTCGCTGAACATTCTATATTGAACGACCGCAACGCGTCTAGCTGTCTCATTTGTATGTGTATGTTGTCGCAAACTATTCACACCAATACACTTTCGTCTCAATACACACGCCATTTTCATTTCATCCGTTGTGTTTCAGCGTCGAAATCAGCTTCTCCTCTCTCAAATCGATAGTGTTGTTTTCAAAGTGCGGTCAAGGGTGTTTTTATGCGGCTTAAGTGAGTGAATCAAACAAAGATTACAATTGGAAAAATGCAATCGGCCGGTGAAAATGATGAACAAAACGATGCGGATAAACTAGAAAATGGAGAAGATTCCGCTATATCAACGACAGGTTTGTGTTTTGTCAATTATTTACGATTCATCAAATAAAACGAACGCCGTTTTTTTAGACACAAATGGTGGGATCAATGGTGATGACAACGAATCGGTCGATGAACATTCGAGAGATGATGTCGATGCTGACGCCGACGCTGATGTAAGTGATGAATGGACAAACAAACGAATCAAATTGCAAATGCCGACATTTTTGAAGCCAAAATCGGTGGCTACTTGGAAATCAATCGCCGTCGATGATCCCGAACGTGCCAAACGATTAGGTATTGAAAGCATTTGCCCGAACATTTGTCTATATTTTTTGCACGATGCATGCGTCGAAGGTGACAATTGCTACAATTCACACGAGCTTCCTTCGGATGTTGACGTTTTACAACATTTTAAAGCATGTGGAACGACAGACACTGGCAAATTGTTACGTGTGATTATCGCGCGATGTCCAAAATTATTGTACACATATTTTCGGGTGTTTGTTGACTATTTTGCCGATCATCAAATGAAAGAGGTTTTGGTTGAATCAATAATCATATGCCAACGTGAACAAGATAAAGAAAAACGGTTAAATTATTTCCAGCATTTGATACGGGCATTCATTCGTAGCGGCGAAACTTATGAATCGGCGATGGAAGCAATTTTATTCAATTTAAAATATATTGATCGTGACACAATCGATATACTGCTCAACATGAATTTGATTGAAGGCATCAGCGTCAGCGACTTTTTGAATGTATTTCGATCGTTAAACAGACATCGGTATCGTTTCAATGAACACATTATCAATCGCTTAATGTATCTTTGCACACAATCGGAAGATGTGCTTGATACCGATACACTCAGCGATTTTACTCAGCTTATATTTCACATCATCAAAACTAATCGACATGTACAATCTGTATTGAATAAAAATGATTACCGAAAATACATTCAATTGTACAATCGGTATCGCAGTCACAGTCGCAATCAGAATCGCAACGGCACACGACGTCAAGCTAATTGAATTTATGCAATGTTTGGTGACAATTTTTTTTTTTTGTTCATTTTTATTTGAATTGAATTTATTGTTTTTTTTTTAGACTAAATAAAAATGTTAATTTTTTGAATATAAAATAAAAATGTAACTGGTCTTTTCTTGTGTATCAACAATAATTGAATAGGAACGAGAAAAAAGATGAGATTTCATGACGGTAGTCAAATTCATAAAGACAATATTGAAAGTTAGCTTTCTCTCTTGAATTCAGACAAAGTTGCTCAAATAAACATTCTTTCTGTCTCTTTCTCTTTTGACACAATGCAATTTGTTTATACAGACTAGTCTATGCAAAGACATTCACTTCAAATTCTCTTACAAACGAATTTGTTTATCAGACCGATTGTTTTAACCGTATTGTCATATAAACAAATACCAGCTAGGCAATGTATGCGTCTTTGTATTAGTGTGCAATATGCTTAAGAGGAACAACATTGTCAGTGAGCAATTTTGACGATCGACATCAAAAGCAATATTATTTGTGATTCTAATCACTGCAAACAGACAAATTTTAAATTCTAAACTGCAAAAATACCAATTTTAATCATCTTAATAATCACCTCAAAATTTAAGATTTGTAAAAATTAAAATAAAATAAAAACGATGCAAAATTTGGATATTTCATTATTAATTTTGCCAAAAAGTAAAGAAATGTATCAGAACGAATTGGACGCCATCGATAATCAGTATGATTCAAGTGCGAGCGATGTGAAAAAATCGAAATTCATTGAAAAAGTTAAAATTTATAAGGAATGGATGAACGATTTAGTTCGGGCCATAACTATGGCCGACGAAACAATTGATAACATGAAAGAATTGATAGAGCAATCGAAAGAAAGTATACAAAGAAATGGTGAACAATTGCATGCATTACGCGACGATTTGGAATATGTTCGACAAGAATTGCAACACGATGATTCGGGAATCGGTGAAATGCTGACAGCCACAACGAACATGGATAACCATCACATTCATTTTGAGCGTCGTTCAATTGAATTATCCCAAGCCATCGACCAGTCATCACACGAATTATCTCAATTATCGGAGCAAATGACGAAACTGAATGAAGCAAAAGCATCCATCAATTCACAGTACACAGATTTTCAAGCAAAATTCGACCAATTAACAACGGAAGCCCAGGAAATCGATTGAAGCCCAGGAAATCAGTAATCAATCATGAAACGCCTTCCTACACGGTTTTCCATTTGGTCCAACTTCAAAACTTTTTAAAATTATTTCTACAAATTTTAAACATCCAACATCCGTTAAATTTTAAAAAAATGTCAAGAGAAATACATAAAATACTCTGTCTCAGCCAGAATAAATCTCATTTTTTTAAATGTTTGTAATAAATTGAAAAAAATCATAGTTTCAATTGTTGCTTTTTTGATTGAAAATAAAACAAAAAACGACACTTACAAATTAGTCGTTTTGATGTGTAAAAAGTTACACTTCTTAAATATCAATGGTCCGAGGAATTTCAAAATCATGAAAAGATTCAATTTAAAATTTTACAGTTTTCCAGCACTCTCTATATTTTTCTCTGTCTTTTTCGGTACATTGAACCCAATTGGTAACGATTATTTCAAGTGATTGTCATCGGTGAGCAAGTATTGGCAAAAGTATGAAAGAGCTCACGTCTGTGTTAGTATGACATTTGTATCGAATATGTTCTACATTTCACAGCATTGGCGACAGCAAAATCATTTGTCATTCTAAATAGAGCAAATAAAAAAATCGTGATTACTTAGCAACATTAAAAGTTGTAAGTTGAACATAAATATGGATATTTCATCTTTGATTAAGATAAAAACTAGCGAAATGTATCGGCAAGCATTAGAAGATCAGTATATATCAAATAACAGCAATGAGCAAAAAATGAGCGAACAAACCAAGATATTCATGCAATGGCAAGAAGATATAGAAAATGCCTGCGATAAAGTCGAAGAAATAAGTACGGAGTTGAAGGAAAAATTTGACCAGTTCAAAGAAGATCACCAAAAACTTGACGGAAAACTGGAGGAAATCAACAAAGATATGAAATATGCGGAAGAAGAATTGAATCACGATGATTCGGGAGTGGGCGAAGTACTAACAGCATCAGAAAGTCCTGAGCAGCGTTTGGAAATGTTATTCGAGGAAACACAGCTTCGATATGACAAAATTTTATTGCAATTAGAAAAGGTTAGGAAAGCTATTACCATCATTAAAGAACAGCGTGATGACCTTTTGGCGGTGCGCGAACAATGGCGATTGAAAATTCAACAAGATAACAACAATTGATCACTTAACCGCAAAAAAATCACAAACACTTGCCAAATGAATGTATTTTCTGTTTACAGTCAATATTCTATTTTTTTTAAGTTGTTCATTATTCTTTTTTATTTTTTTTTTATTTATATAAATATTAAACACGAGAGCATGCTTTAGAAAAAGAAAGAAAAAGAAATGGAAATAAATATAAACAAAGTAACAGGAAACATCGTAAAATGCAGTCAGCGTAAAATTCGAATTTCTCATAGTTTATTTTTCTTCTTCATTTTTAAATAATAAAAATTAAACCGAATTATTATTTTATCAGTGCCTTCAATTGTTTCGTTATTTTTATTATTTTCGTTCAGTTTATCTTTTCGATCTGCGCCAGTGTTACATTAAATAATGTTTCATGCATCACACGTTAGCTCGTCAAGAAATATAACATATGGTTTTTTTTTCGAATGAAAGTGAAATTTTATAGCGAAAATGGTATAAAATATTTCGCTGTTTAATTTGTTGATTCAAGATTTGGGTGTAGTTGTTGGATAAAATATATATGAGTTTGAAATGAAAATGAAGGTAGGATGGGCGCATTGACAGTGTAATTTGAATTTCTCTTCGATTGAGTAGAAAATTAATTTCCCGATTCGCTCTGTACACTATGTGTGTTAGTGTGCATCAGACAGTTTTTTTTTTTCAATAAGTAGGAAGTATTTCAATATATACTTTTTTATTGCTTCCACGCCAAAAAAAACACACACACACACACCAACATAAAGAAATTTAAAAGAAACCATATGCATTTTTGATTCCTATGATAATCATCATTGGGCGTAAATCGCTGGCAAAAAAGCGGAAAATATAAATCAAAATACCAGAAGACGAAAATATATATTCTAGTTGAAATATTTACGCTCATTTGACCATCGCCACGAAAAATGTCGTTTTGTAATAATTCTCGCTTATGCATGAAAGTCATAAAATTGCTGTTCGTTCATAAAAACTAATTTTTGTTGTTGTTAATCTACAGTTTTTCTTTCCGCATACACACACACATCGGCCAAGTGCTGAGTGCGGTACACGCATTTTATGTTGTTTGTGCCGTCGCTTTTGATGACTTTGTGAGAATTGCATCTTGGGCATTTTCTAAACGGCAGCCAATTAAATAATTTCATAGAAGCATTATTATATCGTGGCTCTTACTTTTAAGTTTGTATGCTTAAGCAGTTGATGTATTTATGGTGTGCCAGCCTCGACGAAAACTCAATATAAATATAAGAATACGAAGTTGAGTTTTTCGTCTTTGTTAACGACACTAATTGCGATAGTGTTGTGCATGGCTTAAATGAAGCCCATTAAGAATGAACACTGATTTTCAAGTGGAATGTCTGCCTTTCACGTTCTAGCCAAGTGGTTTTTTTCATTTGAATGCTTCAATAACCAATGCTTGGTTTAATTGAGAGAGTGAGAAGAGAAAAAGTGGCAAATAGTAATACAGTGAGTGTGTGTGACAAATTTTCTGCTCTATGAAAGCTACAATTTTAATAAGAACAATCCAAAAATTGCTCCAGAAGCGCATGTATCAACATTAAAAATCGATTGTAAAAACTCTATTTTTATCATCGAAATGGATTTTCTATGAAATTGTCTAAATCCATAAAACGCCTGCATTTAGGCAACTCTTCATATTTTCCATGTATGGAAAATCAGTGTAGTCTTACAATCACAGCAAATTCGAACACAAAATGTAAAGCAAATGCCAAAAATATCAACGCTGTGACAAATATTCTCATTTTTTTTTGTGCAGCACACAAAAACATCCTGCAGACAAAGCGTAAATTGGAAGCACTCACATGAAAACAATAAATAGTTAAAGGGAAAAAAAACATACCAAAGTCATATAGTCGAGCGATAGTTATTGCAGATGAAAAGCGCACTATGTGTGTCTATGATTCAATACAACATTCTCATTGTTGTTGGTAAATTACGTTTATTTATGTTGCTGGATGCCGGGTTGGTTTGTACTTGTAACAGATATGAGGCATGCCACTACATTATGTGAAAACATGCACACTTATACACACGCAAATCGACTCATATAATATACATGTTGTCCAGAGTTTGGTTACCGTACATCGAAGTATAACACACCGACGAACGAAATGAACGAATGTGTGTAAATCGAGAATACACAACAGGAGTGTGTCTAGTGGCGCGCACACACCACACAAAAGCATATGACGGCATCAGTACAGTTTGTATATCGGCCAGAATCAGTTCGTTGTTAGTCGTTGTCGTTGGCGACACGCCACTTATTTCACTGTACAATCAATTTTCAGTAGTTTTATTTCTGTTACGTTTTGTTGTGTTCAATTCGGTTTAAAAACAATTTGTTTTCTTTTGTTATGTGTATCGTTTATATCGAAGAATATAGTCGCGAGTAATCATAATAAATGGAATGAGATCGATAAAATTCGTTTGAAACGAATTATTTTTTATCAGACAATCGAAACGACATTGATTGAGTGTGTAAACGACGGACTGAATGAATGACACAGAGTTCGCAAAGTGAATTGCAGTGCAATAAAATCCATTCTTTTGTCGAGAAACAAACAAAAAATTCATTTTTGGACAGTGTAATAAATTGTATTATTCTTCTTTTTTTCAACTTTTTACATTTCAATCTGAACAAATATTTTTATTGACGAGAAGATGAAGACGAAAAAATAAACAGACAAGAGATATTTTTGGTCACACAGTTGGGGACACAAAATTAAAAACGGCTCGTGATGATGATGATTTAACGAAAGCGATAATCATTTGAAAATAGAAAAAACCAAGTGTATAAAACTCGCGTAATACATTCACACCTAAGCAATTGGTATAAAATTAGAACACTCAATCCTCTTTCTTGTAAATCACCACTTTAACGTACACATATATTCTATTTAATTATTTAATACGATTAGTTGAAAAATCAATAGCCACCTTTTTATGATGGTGTATACGAAACCAATTTTTAAATGGGATTTTGCGTTACCTTAAAAACACTTTTGCTATCTAGAAATTTTGTCGAGATAACGTGAGGTGACATAGTAAAGAGATCGGTATTGGTTTCATTTTTTTTTTTTTTAATGAAACGATTTGAATAAGATTTTTTTTTCGCTTGAAGCTCACACCAACAACACACATCGATGGCTGTGCAGTTGTAAATTAAATGCGCTATTTTTGGTGCAATGTCACGTAAAACATGAGCACAAATAAAAATTAAATACAATTGTGTGCATTATATAATTGCCTAGTTTGTCGATTTTGATCGTATCGGATCGTGAATTTTGTATAAAATTATACGAAAAAGCGTGAAAAAACCAACTCAAGTTCGTTGCCGTCAACAAATGAACAAAAGCGCTAGCGCATTTTACAATTATATATCAAATTGAAATAGAGCGCGTGCGACACATATTACATGAGGAAAGAAAACATAAACACCTTGCAACAGCGGTTGCTTCAATTAAAAGCATCGACAAACAGCTAGAACCTTTCACGAGAAAGAAATATCAACAGAAAAAAAAACTGTTTACCGAAAAAAAAACTCGAACCCGCTCATGTGAGCATTAGATGATTTTATCATAGTTAAATAATGTTGATTCAAATGAATGTGCCGCAAGATTATAGCTTTGAATGTAAGCACACATTTTTGTTGCTGTTGAAATTCGAATTTAGAGTAAAATGTACGCTAGCCATTGTTGAGTTTATTGATTTGTGGCTACTCATTAAAAATTTACAATTTTCTTCATGCAAACAAATGTCCACACACATGGTTCGTGCATTTTAAATCCACCAAATCCAATTTATATGCATGAGACCTACGAGGATTTAGGCTCAACGGTTTTACTGACCTGAAAATGGGAATGAAACAAACGTTCAATTAAGAACGTGTACATTATGCAAAATCCTGAATTCCGAATGCTTTCATGCTGGCACGGATATCGAATAAAACATCACTTCAATCCATTAATGGATTTCGCTGGTTGAAATGTTTATGAACCACTTTTTGTCTAAAATCATTTTGCTGTAATTCTGTGATAAAAATAATTGAAGTTGATATGCGCGAACTTAAATGAGAATTGACATTTACGTTGGAACGGCAAAATCACTATCATTCGCAGTTATAATGACATATCTAAAATTATTACGCTTCTCACATGATGATGATGATGATGATGATTGAATATTTTCGGACCTGTTGTGAGCGTAGAGCATTTATAAAATGAAACAATGAAAAAAAAAAATGATTGTAAATCTAGTCATTGTGACCCATGAATGAATAACGATTGTTCCAGTCATGCAACATCTCAAGCTGATTACGAGTCACAATCAATTTCTCTCTCTCGCTCTATCTCTCTGATTGTTATCCCATATTATGGGCCATAACAGCGTCGATGTCAATGTAGATGCCAAATTTGTACGTAGACCGTTTTTTATTCTCTCCTCATTTTTTCCTTTTTGCAAATGTCAATATAGAGTCGCTTGGACAACAGTCTCATTGCAGCTATATTTTATGCAAGGCATTCGATTACTGTTATTATACGCAACAGTAAATAATTTTCAATTGAGTCGAAGAAAACAAAAATGAGAGAGGAATGCATATATCAATGTTGAAAACACATCGTTATAAAACCATCCGATAATTGATAGAGACGAAATAAAAACGTAGATAAACAATAGCAAAATCGAAAAGATACAACGTGTAAAACAATGTGCTAAATTATGAATGAAGAAAAGGATGGACGAGAAAAAAAGCGTTAACGTAACGGACAACGATTAGAAAAGCATTTATTTAATGTTTTTCCTTTCTTTCAGCAGCGCATATGCGATGGATTTATAATTGAATACAGTTTGGATTCAGAGTGATATCAGAATTGTTAGACGAGTTTAGTTGTGTGGAAATGATCAATATATTACGATTGTTTTATGTCTCATGAACTCAATGGGATTTACGGCGGTACTTACGTAATACCGTTGTTTTATCGATTATTATTTGTGTCTGTGCGGAAAATATTAAGGTAACGACATCTTGTCTGTGTGGTTTTCACTATGTCTTTTGTGTAACTGGATCAGATGTTGGGCACGCATCATCTGACGATCAACTTCAATATAGCCTGAAAAATGCGACCGCGTCGAATTGCCTTTTATTAAAATGTAACTTGTTCTTCTACACCATCACAACAAACCACTTAACCGAGATTATTGAGTGCGAATGCAATGCTTCGGCCATAATGTGTGAACGAAATATTTCTGGCAGTTGCTCCAAAAAATAAGCGACACTCGTGCTTAACATTCTAAAATTGATTTCATCTATAAATTTTCTCTCTCTCTCTCCTCCTTTCCCTCTCACACACACATCACAATAATTGCTCGCGCTTTTTTTTCTCACTGAATTTAAGATTTTTTCGGAATCGTACAGCATCACTATTCGCACCATCGATACACATTTAATAACGGTAATTGTTGGCTTTTGTGCATCTTTCTCATATCGATTCACATAATATTGAAGCCTAATGGAATTTCTCGCGGAATTGAAATAAGCAGCCGTTAAGATGCGCTTCGATACGATTCAAAAAATGAGGAAAGAAAAAAGGGCTGCATCATGCAAACATAAACAAATATAAAATGTTAACACATCTTCCGTTGTTTACGATTATTTATTTTTTTTTATTCATCTCCTCTACTTCAAGTTTCTCGTACAGGCGCGAGCATACTCTTCGCATCGAATGACGAGTGAAATGATGTAAAGAAGAGAAAAGAAAAACAACAAATACCGAAAAGTCTAAATTTAAAATCAAAAATGCCTCCACACTGACTGAACTGATCCAAATAAAGCTGTATCCATTTCTTAACGCTGTTTTCATAGCATTTCGGTCCATTTTTTTCGTTGTGGCGTAATATTTTGGTTGCTTTGTAACTCGTTCTGTTGTCGATTCATATTTGGCAAGCATCCGCAGTAAAAACCTGTGGATTACTATGTGGTATTTGAAATTTGTGTGCATTTGGCAGAAAATTTATTTTTCAGCCTCGTTCAATGACCAACGGAACCCGCAAGGTTGCACTGAAAAACCGCATAGCCATGCAACTTATGTGACAAACAACAAATATTCAGCAAACTTCCATGCCAAAATGAATGCGTTGGTTCTTTTCCACGTTACACACGAAAAAAAAAGAGAATTTGACGGAAAAAAACAGTGTTAAAGACGAAAATAAAATACGTTTTTCGCAGTATAAGTATTAATATAATAATTCACTGTTTGTCAGTCGCGTCAGCAGAACAGAATATCGCATAGGCGTGTTAAATACAAAACACTTACCATTTTGGATCATGTTTTGGATACAACTGTATGGCGTGTACATAATGTTAGAATTTTTACGAAGGCAAAATGAAATGCGTATTTGGAACGAATTTCGTTCTATTTTTGAAAATGCCAAGTGATGTGCGCGCCACGCCGTCTAAATGTGGGACATAATTCTTTTTTTTTTTTTCAACATTTTATTATAGCCATCATTTACATCAAAGTTTAACAAATGATGTATGGAAATTTGATTTAAATTTACCAAATCCAAAGTAGACTTCACACAGCCGAATTTTAATGGTACTACATTCCATTCATTTTCGAGGACCGGCTTAATGCATGATGCATTTTTGACATAAAAGCACCGGCATTTTTGAAAACGAAAAATCTTCGTTAATTACAACCTCTAAACACTTTTTTTTTATTTATATTTATACGCTTTCGTGCATTTATGGCCAAGTTCAGAGTGCCATAACAAAATTCATTTCTTTCTTTTTTTAACTTCTCACTCAATCAATTCACTTCGTCGCGGAGGTGATATTTTTCGTAAAATTGAAAAAATAGACGGAATGACAGTGGAGAAAACTGAAAGTTTCAGACAAAAGTAAGAAATTAACTTTTACGATTGACGCACAAAAAGCCATTACGGAAACAAAAATATAAACAATATCAGTATCGCCCCGTGATTTAAATTCTGTGATAAATCTTGACAGATCTTTTTTTTTTTTAAATTTCATTCATCTAAAAAAAGATGGATTTTTCGTTGTGGTCGGCTTCAAATTCCCACTCGCTCGAAAGACCAATGGTCAACAATGATAAAATATATTAATAAAATCACTTCTTGAAGAGAAATTAACGCGTAGATATATATATTTGAAACAGAAGAATAGACAATGATATAAATCATAGTGGATATTTTTAAAAGAAGAGTTTCGCTTCTTTTTCTTTCAAAAGCGAAGATTTTGGTTCCAGTCTATAATAATCCACTGACCCGGTTGTTTTTGCTTTTAAAAATGCAAGCAAAATTTCCGACTCATGTTCGAACCAACTGATCTGTAAAATTTCATTGGCTGTAAAATGTGGACGTACTTATATTTTTATAATGACTCTTAATATTGAGCATTTTCGACGAATGTAAACACTTATTTGAAAGTGTTTGTTGGCATATATATTTTTCTTGCTTCTTTAACCAGAATACCATTGCCAGATCATTAAAACATATTTTTGAGTATGATTTATTCGAAGTGTAGATAATAATATATTAAAATGGTAAAGAATGTCTTAATTTG